CAATTGAAGAATTTTCTAGTGACGAAACAACTTTCTTCAATTGGTTTTTGAGGTGCACTTTATTTCGTAATATAAACTTTTTCTCTATCAATTCAAAACAATTAAGGACACGGTTTCTATGCGGCCAGCCCACATATTGTAGAAATGCGGGCTTGGCAATAAATATATTTTTTAAAGAAAAAAGTTTATATAAGGACGTTGCCTTATAATGTAGAACTACGGATGCCCTTGAAAAATCCATCGGAAAAAGTAGTTTTAATGTTGAAAAACCCTTTGATTGATCATCTCGATATCAAGATCTATGACTATGAAAGATAAAAAGATTTCAAGTCTAAAAAATAGTGTATTTTACAACATATTATCTACACCGTCCATTTTCTAGGTTTTCATATGTTTATAGATCTACTTGATTTTAACAATTTTTTAAATTTAAAATTTTATAATTAGATATAAAAATAGATTTTGAGATAATCCTAATAACATTTTACATTAAAATTATATACCATGATAAAATTTGAAGGGTACCGTACCTCTCCACCTACGGACGTGTCCGTATGTAAACTGCACCCTTTTTAAATATAAACTGATCCTAATTTTAATAGAATATATAATCTTTAACGTGGAGATCATGAATATAAAAAAGAGTGATGATCCTATGAGACCCACCTCCCAAATCCATGTGTGTAGGACTTCAAATGATCACCATTACATTTGACACAGATATATAGAAAAGTCAAGTCCCACATCCATGTGATAACTTTTTTAGAGATCTGTGCTAAATTTAATGATGATTTTTTGGGGTTCTACACACATAGGTGTGGGAGGATCTTATAGGATCATTACTTTTAAAAAATATATATTTTTTACAAACTATAAATAATATTTATATTAAAAAAACATTTAGACTGTTAGCTACACTTGTTTTAGATGGTCTACCTATTTGCATCCATTATTCCTCCGGCCTGCAAAATGTAGAAGTGCCGGGCTTGATGACACAATTTTCCAAAAGTTAATGTTTGAGCGCAGTTTATCTCACACTCCAAGCCGTCCGCTCTCGCATCCAACAGCTAGCGATGGGAGGGTTGTTCAACTTCCAAGATGTATTATTTGTACTTTCCTCTGACAAAAAAATACGTGCGGATTGTTTTTATCAGGTATTATTCTAGAGTGGTTCATAACTCGTAAAATGAAACAAAAAATTAAATTTTATTTTTTGAACCTCTTTATTTTCTCTTTACAAAATAGGTTGTTAGATCAAATCAAGTTTTATTTATTTTTTATTTTTTATTTTTTATGAATGTTAACAGTCAGTTGTTAGAAAATTTTGAAACTGTTAGTAGTTTTTGAAAAGAGTTAGAATTGATAAAAAAAGAAACGGAAACTTTACCCTAGGTTTTCTTTCCGGGTTGGTATTGCGTACTCATGGGGTACCTTTTAATGGTTCAGATTGAACCACGCTTATCCAAAGGCCCATAATGAATGTTGTTTTCTATTTGTAATTTTTATTTAAAATGGATAAAAATATTAAATTTGAGTTTTAGGTTCATTTTTATAAGCAAGATTGAATAAAATTAATATAATATATTTTGAATAAAATATATTGGCCAAAATAAATTTAAAAGCATTTTTGTTATTTTTATTTAAAATATTTTTATTAGGTTATATTTATAAAAATACACCTATAGTCTAAACTTCAGATAAATATATTATTTAAATAAAATTTAAAAATACAGAGCAGTAATATTATGAGACCTTCCTACACCTATGTGAATAGAACTCCAAACGATCACTATTAAATTTTGACACATATCTCTAAAAAAATTATCCATAAGTCCATTCACTCAAGTCCTATACCTATAACTTTTCTAAAGATCTGGGTCAAAATTTAATAACGATTTTTGATATTCTACTTATACAAAAAAATCTCATAGTGTTTTTACTCAAAAATAATAAAAAAAACTAATTTTTGGCCATTGAATACAGCACAATCTCAACCAGTCCACATGATGCGGAAGTGATATTTTTTCCTTTCCTCAAGAGGCGTGCTAAAACATTAACCGTATCTTTATAGGGAAATGATCCTGTCTAAAGACTTTGTTTTGCTAATTGTTTTGAAAAATATATCACTCCTTCTCACTGAACTCCCAATCTCGTTTAATTTTTTTCTCTTCCTCCCAAATCCTTTTCTTTTTTTTTCTCTCTTTAAAAATGTCGCCTTTTACAAATCTCTTTGGAGACCCACATCTATCTCTTTACATAAATCTATCGGAAAATGATGTTTTAACATTGAAAAGCCCTCTAATCTATCATCTCCTCATCAAGATGCATGAATATGAAAAATAAAAAAGAACTTGAGTTTCAAAAATAGTACATCTTGCAACACATTATCTAGACCGTCTATTTTCAATATTTTCATATATTTATATATCTACTTGATTTTAAACATTTTTTTAGTTTAAAATTTTATAATTAGATATAAAAATAAATTTTCAAATAATTCTAAAAACATTTTACACCAAAATTACTGGATTGTTTAAGGTTACAACGTACAAAGCCCTTAGTTTTTATAATATGAGAAAAGAACCATATTCAAAAACCACATTTTACAAGATGGTAGAGCTCTCCATTAAAGGCTGAGAACCCAAAAGAATGCAAAATTATTGCTTCATCTCTTTGAAGGTAGCCATGAAAAGGGCAAATTCTCCACTGAACCAAGCCCTATTTAACATGCGGGAGGCACCAAACCCTATTTAATAATGGATTGTTTGCTTCGACGTTTGCATGTGTTTGGAGACTGACACTCTTTTAAAAACTCTCACTCTCTATTAATTGTCATTATATTTCATGTTCCACTTAAAATAATGAAACACAAATGTTGCCTGATATATAAACAAATACATGAATGAAAGTGACTAAAAGTGACAGGAAGACTAGAAAAAAATTGATTAATGTACAACTGTAGTCTGTGGAAAGAGCTGGAAAAAAAAATGAGTAAGAAAATAGAAGGAAGACTTTAAATTATGAGAATAAGCAATTCCATATTATAATAGAGAAGAGCCTCTAAACAATCAAAGTAAAGCGCACCTTCAAATAGTATCGAGAAATATGGTTTCAATACTGAAACATCTTTGCGGCAGCCTTAGAATATATTTTTATCTTTAATTATAAAATTTAAAGCTTCAAAAATAGCGTAGATCCAGTAGATCTATGTAAACTTGAAAAATCTTGAAAGTTGACAGTCTAAAAATGCATTACAAGACTCACTATTTCTTAAACTTAAAAATCCATTTTTTTCTCATGTTCATGCATCTTGATGCTGAGATGATCAATTTGACGATATTTGAGCATCGAACAACCTCTTCTAGTGAAATTTTTGAGGTGAGCTCTAATTTGATTATTTAGAGCCTCAGCACTATATAAACTTTTTCTATTATAAATATTAAAAAGGAAATATTTTGATAGCACTTAAGCCCTGTAGTAGAGCCTCACTTGAAAACTAGCAGAAAATTGTAGTATGGTGTCGAAAAATGTACAAATCGATCACCTCGGCCTTGATATTACAATTGTTGAAAAAAATTAATATATTTAATACCTAAAAATAGTGTATATTGTAACACATTATCTAGGCTGTCCATTTTATCCTAAATATAAGTGTCCACGAATCGATACTAAATTGATTTTTTTATATTTTGTTTTGGAAAATTATCACAAATATACCTTAATTTTTGTCTGTTTAGAAAAAAAAAAACCCTCAATTTTCATAAACCATTCTTCAATTTTGAGCGTCTTTTTTTATCAAAATACCTTTCACGGTAGTCTCGTATTACCCTAAAGCCAAAAAAACTAACCCGTGTTATTTGACATTTAAAGTAACATAAAAACTAACTCATGTTATATGGCACTCAAAATGTCGCAAACCTTTTTTTCCTATTCATATTTATCTCTTTCATATTTCTAATTTTTTTTATATTTATCTCTTTTTTCTCTCTCTAATTTTTTTTAGAATTTATCTCTTATTTCTCTCTCTACGTACTTCATCAACTCAACAAACATGATTCCAACGCAATAACTCTGCCTAATTTTGATAGGGGATGGGGTTGAAGTGAGTTTTTTGAGGGGATAGTACGCACAAGTTGTTAGAGAGAGAAAAGATTTAGAGAAGAAAAGAAGAGATAAAAAAGAATTAGAGACAGAAAGAAGAAATAAAAAAAATTAGAGAGAAATAAAAGATCAACATAAAAAAAATTAAAGAGATCAAAGACATGAATACAAACAGGATGAAAGAGATAAATATAGATCATTTCAAGTGCCGTATAACTTGAGTTTGTTTTTACCGTACTTAAAATGTTATATTATATGGGTTAGTTTTTTACGGTATTTAAAATGGCGTATTTTTTTATTTTACGGTAATACGACTAATTTGAATGTTATTTTTGTAAAAAAAAAAAAAAAAAAACTAAAAATTGAGTAAAAAAGAGTGTGGATGAGATTTATGAAAGTTAATTTTTTTTTAAATAAATGAAAATTAAAATATATTTGTGATACTTTTTTTAGATATTTTTATAAAAAGCCTTAAATTTTACGGATAAAAATAGATTTTTCAATATCCATAATACACTTCGGATTAAGATTAGAGATAGGGTTTACTTTGTTTTCATAAAGTCTATTCCCTAGAGAAACTAAATCCATAGTTGAGAAAAGAAAAAAAAGCATGGAGGGTCCCACGAAATCATGGAGTTTAAGACCAAATACCGATAAAACAACTGAATTTTGAAACCCAAGAGAAACTGAGAAGCATGCGGCGGATAGTCACACGACCCGCCTTTCCCGCTATCTGACCCACATTTGCCCGTAAATCAACCTCATCTCTCTAAACTTTCACTACATCCATTCTCTCTCTAAAAAAAACGCCATTCTCTCTCTAAAAAACGCCATTCTCTCTCTCTAAAAAGACACCGTTTTCTCTCTAAAAACACCTTTCCTCTCTAACCTCTCTCTAGAATATCGTTCACTCTCTCTCTAAGGTAAATCTCTCTCCCACACCATTCTCTCTCCAGTTTCTCTCTCTAGAGTCTAGACAGTAAAATCTCTGCAGATAATTAAAGAAGAGGTCTGCCATTTTCTCTGATCACACGACAAAGCTCTCTCTTCTCACACAAGAAACGCTAGCGCTTTTTTTTTTATATCGTCCTCTGCAATTCCACCTGGAAATGGTGAAGCAACGCGCGTCTCCACCTGTGGCCTCTGAAAACCCTATTTTCTGAGGATGATGGCTCAGGAAGCTGCAGAAGCCTCAGGTTTTCAGAAACCCTAGTCTTTTTTTGCTTTTTCGGTGCTTGCGAGCTACTGCTTGAAGTTACAGGGCGAAGAGAGTGGTAGAAACCCTAGGTGCTTATTTTCGCTACATATGGTTTTCACCTGCGAAATCTTTCGTTTCCTCGAATTCATGAGGTTGCAGAGACCTTAATTTCCGAGGATACGGTTTGCAGGAAGTTGCAGCAAGCCTAGGTTTCGTTTTCTCTGCCTTCTAATGCCTGAGTTTCAAAAAGGCGAGGTATTTTTGGATAATAGAGACCTTGATTTTGGATTTATCTCGAAAAGTTTCTGCTGAAACGCCAGTTAACATTGATGCATGGCCCTGGGAGTTGCAGAGATCTAGCGTTTAGTCCCAACGCATAATGCAGTTGTACATGCACCTCCTGTGACCTCTGTTTATCTCCGTTAATCTCTGTCCCATTTGTTTTTCGCCATCTATACATGCTTGATGTGTCTCCGGCTTTCTTCCCTGATCCTGAAACTGTTGTTCTCCGCAAAACCTAATTTTTAAGCTTACATTGCTCGTGCAGGTGCAAAACCTCTGGCTTCTCACTCCATTTATGCATACTCCTTTTCCATTGCTCATGTATACATTTGAGGAATGCTGTTAACCCCAAATTTTTGTAAACAGGAGTTGCAGAAACCTCAAAGTTTTCCCTCATTGATATATATATATATATATCGCCATATACACACATTCGCTATACTCATGCTTTTGTGGCATAATGCATGTATGCCACCATTGACCATTTGAATGCCAATGGTTATCTGGTATGAACAGTTTCGGATACTGTTACCTTAGCTTTCAGTAAAAGTGGTGATATGCAGAGAGGCGCATTTATGTCACCATGTATGCGTGTGTACTATGTAGAGCTATGGTGTATGGATTGAGGATTTCGAGGAGAAGAGATTCGAGCATGGGAATTAAAATATGAGCTTTTTGGGGTTCTCATCTTCCATTGGAAAAGGGGATTAAAATATGGGTTTTGGTGCTTGTGATGATAATAAAATATAAGTGGGAAGTGTATTCTGGTTCAAAGGGGCATGTGACAAAAGAGGTGGTACTTCTGGTTTCACTGGGGGATTAATTTCTGTGTTTTCCTTCTTTTTTCTTTTTCAGGGGAGTTTTCGGGTGATTTTCGTTTTTTTTCTCTCTTGTTTTTTCTTGTTCTGTATTTCTTAATCTTCTTTTTTTCTTTGGACATTTGAGGTGCATTTTTCTCTTGAATGGGTGGTTCTTTGGGATTTTCTGGGTGAATTTTTTGGGTCTTTCTTTATTGTTATTTTGAGTTTTTGGGTTGCTTCTTTCTTTAGTTTCGTATTTTTTTTCCCCATTTTTTTTGGAGAAGATGGTAGGTTTGGTTTCACATTTGGCAGCCAAATTTGCATTTTTTCCCCCTGATCCACCTTCATATCAGGTGAGGAAGGAGAATGGAAGGGTTGTTTTTTCGGGGATTCCAAGGGATTCATCGATGGATGTTCTTGTTCTTGACACCAAGTATGGAAACAAGATTGTAGCTTTATATCTGAGAAACCCTTATGCCAGATTAACGGTTTTGTATTCGCATGGCAATGCGGCAGATCTGGGGCAGCTCTATGATCTATTTGTCCAGCTCAAGGTTAACCTTAGGGTTAATTTGATAGGGTTAGTGCCATTTTCCAGTTAAGTTGCACCAATTACTTTTTACTTTTCATCTTTCTCTACTTCTATTTGTGCATTTTTCTTATTATTTGACAAAAGCGCTGCCCTTCTCAGTTTGATTTATACTTCCTGTGCTATTCCTTACTTGTATTGCTATTCCTTTTCTTTTCATCTAGGCTATTTACTCTCTTCTCTGATTTACATGAGATGTAAATGTGATGTTTTTTAAATTTGAAGGATTAGTGTTCTTTTCCTGGATCTTTTCGAAGAACCCTTGTTTTTTTCACATATTTCTTTATATCTTGTGAATAGTACAGATTTTCTTGGGTGTGAATAATACGGATTTTCTTGGGTGGTTACATTTTGCTTGTGGGTTCGTTTTTTATGTTAGATTTTGATGGTTATGCGATCTTACGCTCCTTTTTTTTCTCTGTCTTTTCATCCATTTTAAGGAATTAGCTTACACTTGACAGTAAAATTTCATTTTCATCGTCTCTTTTTTAACGTATTGTTCTTTTTGTGCTATGGGTTTTACTCAATTGAGGCTTTTTTAGTAGGATTAGTGTTGTTTCCAATTCTCTGAAGTAAACTATCTTGTCTCCATCCCTTGTTGCCCATTTTCTCTCTTTGGGGTGCGTTCTCTATAGTTTGGTTTACTTTTTGCTCCATTCCGTTACAGACTTCACTTCTCTCTACTCTTTTCTCTGTGTTTATCTTGTTTGGATAACTTATTATTGGTCTCAATCTGCAGGTATGATTATTCAGGATATGGAGCTTCCACAGGTAAGGTAAGCTGCTCTTTTTCATGTTGTTTCTCTCTATTTGTTTGGCCTCAGATTTCGTATCCTATTGAGGTTTTTGTTCTTGTGCTACTTGGGGCATGCAGTTTCCTTTTTCTCTGTCTAAGCCTTTCATTGAACATAACTTATATAACTTGTCTTGACTTGTTTGGAGGATTAGACATCTTGCTTTTAGGCTTTCCTATTGAGATCTTTTTCTTATGTGAACAAGGCTAAGCACCAGTTTGGATGGACCACTAAACAGGAGTTGCACTAATATCTTCCTCTGCTTGTGTGGGATTACTACTGCCGCTTGCTTGTGTCTTCCGCTTTTGGAAACCACTTCTGTAGAAATGCTGCCAAATTGTGGCTATTTGATAATAAACGGAGGATAATAAAAGCTGTTTTTCTATTTTTCTATAATAGTGAGACTAAGATCTCCTAGGGTTACTCTTCTATTTCTAAGAAGATGTTGAGATGTGCAATGAAAACAAAAAAGGCCATATCTGGAGATTATGTGAAAATGTAGTTTGAGGCATGAACAAAAAAAAGAATGTAATGGGTATTAATGTGCAATTTTAAACAACAAATCATTTGTCATAGTTTAATGAAACATATCATAAACAAATTTAATATGTGTGTGTGTGCGCGCCCCCGTGGGTGTGATAACTATGTTTACATTTTTATGGGACACCGATGTCATTTACGATAAGATGGGGTATTTTTTCTTTCTGATGATTTCTATTTCTGGAAAGATCTTGGATATTCTAGGCAATAGAAATGAGGCCACATAAGGACATTCCTAAATTCAATGGATAGAGTACCATTCAATTGGGATGGGTCCATCTTTTGCACAAAGGAAAGAGAAGAGCTAACTATCGTATACATTTGCAATAAGATTCTCAACTGGAAATAGAAGTAAATAATTAAATATTAAAATGGAGTGTTATGCACCATCTGATACTAGGCCATTCTTACCAGAGTTTTATAAAAGAGGATGTTTTGGTCATTCAGAAAATTTATAGATAAAATTTAAACATTATCAGGGGCACTTACATCATAAATGAAAATAGTACATGAGCATGATTGTGCTCTTTTCCAATTTATGAGGCAATAATTTCGATGGTCCATATTGGCTTAGTATACTGGTGAGCAAAACGAGTGAGCAAAACGAGTAAGCAAATCTGTCCAAATTAAGTTCTAACAGCAAGAGGTTTGCTGTTCTATTTTTACTTCATTGTGTTGCATCATAATAATATATCCAGTCATGAAAAATTGATTTTCATGTTGCAGAACTTTGGTGTCTTAATTTTTATATATTGACATGCAAAACACCTCCTGTATAAAATTTCTAGAAGGTGGATGCTCTTAAAAACTGGATATTTTGGTCATCTTATGACATCTGATTGATTTTCTTCAAATATAAATTATATAATTATAACAATGTCTGTTACTGTAGGAAATAGTTCTGTGATATATTGACCTATTTCCTTGAGAGGAAACATTATTTGTTCAAATGCAATAAGAATCCATGTGGAGCACTGAATCCTTTGCAGTTTCCCATTTATATTCTTACCTGTCTTTAAGAAAAGAATTGTAGAAAAGAGTTGACCACAGAGCAACACTCATTGAGTGAATAACGTTCACGAGATAGTTGACAATTATACTTCAATGAGATTGATTTATTTGTGGTTTACGCAAGAAATTTACTCTAAATGGTTTATAAATCTAGCGCTCTAGCACCTATTCATGTTTAGTACATATTAATTATTTGCCAAGGTAGATTCTTATTTATAGTGTCTGTGCATATCATTGAGCGAATCATTCTATCTAGCATCACTTCGATGTTCACAGTGCAAGATTTAGATGGTTGCTAAGTAAGACTTCCACTTTAGTTGGATATAACTTTGCTTAAGATGGTGGCTGAAAAGAATTTGGTAACTGTGTACTGAAGCAGCCTAGTGAATCCAACACTTACGCTGACATAGAAGCTGTGTACCAATGTCTTGAGACTCAGTACGGAGTTGGTCAGGAAGATTTGATATTGTACGGACAATCTGTTGGAAGTGGGCCCACACTACATTTGGCCTCTCGACTCCCACGGTTAAGAGGTGTTGTCCTTCACAGTGCTATACTTTCAGGCCTTCGTGTGCTCTGCCATGTGAAGGTCACTTTATGCTTTGATATCTATAAGGTGAGATCCATTTTCTGAATTTTTGTATACTACAATCCAAGGGATTGCAGTTTTTTGTAGCCAATTTGATTTTGGAACTCTCCCCTTATCTATTTATTTACAAGTAAAAATTTCTGGTGATGCTTTAAAATTGTCAGCTGATAATTACGTGTTTTGGTGCAGAACATCAACAAAATTAGAAAGGTGAAGTGCCCAGTACTCGTAATACATGTAAGTACTTATGTTGTTTATGTAGTCATACATTCTTAACAATCTAAAAGCTTGTTATTTTTCCATAATGCTTATGTTTGCCATTTTGATAAATTGATGCTCTAAAACTAGTGATGCATGGAAACTTTTCACACAGAGTTCACATACAGATGTTGATTGCATCATGGACACCGACATGGGTGTCAGTATTTAGTAGTATGTGTCTAGATGTCTAGTACGTTGGGCCAAAAACCCTATGCTTCCCCGACACTTCGGTACAAGTGCCACTGAATAAGATAATACGATACATGGTATAATTTCCTATATTTATAACGGGATTATTTACAAAGAGACCATTTATCTTTTGTACATGGAGATCACAATCATTCTTGTCCCCTAAATTTCAAAATGGGTGGTTGTAAGATTGTGATTAAATAAACATGAAATTCCAAAAAAAAATTCTTAAATTTCGTGACTTACCCCAAGTCATCCAATTTGACATCTAATGAGTGAGAATGATTGTGACCTCCATGTACAAAAAATAAATAACCTCTTTGTAGACAATCCCATTTATAACACCAAGTGGTGGAGCGGAAGAGGTAGGTTAGTTTAAAGCTTTTTGAGTTTTGGCAGTGTTTTATTTTAAAGAAGATGATTATGTTTGTTATCCCATTATGTTCACATTAAGTCACCATGGTAGGGTGTTACTGGTGGCCATCCATGTTCAAGTGGTCAAAGGTTCAAATCCTAGCATAAGCTAAACTACTTTTCAAATTTTCAAATTACTTTTAATACTACTTTACCCCCACGTGGATCTAAGAAAGGTGAGGAACTTAAACTTTCCCTTAACCTGTCCCAAGCCTAGGTAAAAGAGGTGGGTTGTGTTAGGTAGGCCGCCAACGTAAAATTTTGTCAAAATTTTAGACGAATCTGGAATATAAGTTACGATGACTACTTTACCCCCACATGGCTCAAAAAATTCGATTTGTTTTTTCTTTTTTTTTAATTACTTTACTCCTACAGGGATTACAAAATTTAGGTTCTTTGAAATTTCGGGCCAAAAAAGGGCCTAGCAAACCATCGTCAAGAGGCCTAAATGCTAGGCTATTGTATCAAATGAACTTTACAGCTGTTGTGATTTAAAATGCAAGTTAATATAAGACACTTATGAAAGAAGTGTCAACATGGTACTAAAAACAAGTGATGTCAAACAAGTGTCGGGGAGTGTCGACACGGTGATCATGCGACACCAAAGAAGATATGAAGTGTCGGGTAACACCAGCAATAACTAATGTACCTGAGTATTTAAAGACGTGAGTGTTATCTGAGTGCTCTGCATGATAATGCTGGCAGCCATTTGATCCTGATATGCTGCTTTGGATTGGGATATTCATCCTTTGATATTCCTCCATCAGAAGTTCGTTTATGATGCATCTTACACGAGTTATGGATAGCTTATTTTTTTCCTTAAAAAAATAACAATTTTCAGATTGATGAACGCTGATTGCGTACAAATTAGTATCCATTTCTAGTTAGGATTTCTTTCGGTTAGCTCTATAGCATTTTTTCCTCTATTAATTTTAAAACATATGCTTAGCAGTTAATAATAGAAAAAGAAAAAGGAAAATGGTTTCATGTGGGCCGGACCGCATTTCTACAATATGTGGTCCAAAGGTATAAAAACAAGTGTAACTAACAGTCCAAATGTTTTTGTAATATAATTATTATTTCTAGTTTTCAATTTATTTATTTTTTTCATATTCATGATCTCCATGTTAAAAATTATATAATCTCTAAAAATTAGGATTAAATTGTATTTAAAAATATATATTTCTTGCCAAACCCCCATTTCTACAATATGGGGGCTGCCCACTATGCTCAACGATTTTCTATTACCTTACCTTAGCACACTCCTGTTCCTTTGAAGAAGGAACATAGATAAGTAGTGGATAGAAATCTAAAAGGGCCAGCTAGCCAGTTGTTGCTTGCAACAACCACTTTTAAGTAAGAAAGGACATTAAATTCCCAACTTTAGAAACCTTTTGTCCTTCGGCTTATGGAAATCATCCTTTTTTTTATGTGAGAAACTTTCTTAACCTTTTATCTTGTCTTTTTTGTATTATACCTTCTCCATTTTTCAGCTGGAATGATGGTTCCATAGTTTCTTTTGCTCGAGATTTTCCCGTATTCTTTTCAGGTTGCTGAGCGTATGTATTTCTTAACCAATATACTCCTGAGGTTCCATCTTTCCTGAAACGATCTGCCGTATTCATCTTTGGCGTTGCATTTCATATGCGTGAAAACTCTCTCCCTCTCCCTCTCCCTCTCGCGCTCCCTCTCTCCCTCTCCCTCTCCCTCTCCCGCTCCCTCTCTCTCAATGGAAATGTTTGGTTCTCTTTGTTGATGAAGCAGCTTTTTCCAGGGTACTGAGGATGACGTAGTTAACTGGATCCATGGCAAAGGACTATGGGAACTTGCGAAAGAACCATACGAGCCCCTTTGGATCAAGGGTGGTGGCCATTGTAATTTGGAGCTCTACCCTGACTATATTCAACATCTTCACAAATTTGTCACAGAAATGGAGAACATAACAACAGCTATTCGCCTGAAAAGAATACGGGGAAATCTTCAGCAACCCGAAAAGAACTGGTGGTGCTGCTGTAGTTGTAATTGCAAATTTCGGCTAAAATGGCTGAAGTGTTCTATGCCCTCGTGTTCTATGCCTTCTTGCTCCATGCCCTCGTGTTCTATGCCCTCTTGCTCCATGCCCTCTTGCTCCATGCCGTCGTGTTCTATGCCCTCTTGCTTCATGCCCTCTTGCTCTTGTTGCTGTCACTGCCGGTGCTGTTGTTGACATCTTTTTGAGGAGAGTCCTAGAGGATGTCGAATTAAATTGGTAGTTGTACAAAATGAGGCTTTATTCTTATTTTTTCTTTGCTTAACCCTTACTTCAAAAACAGATGAAAGAGCTCATCAACCCAATGTTGTACTGATTAGGCTTCTTACTTACTGATTAGGCTTTACTAATTGGATCTTTCAGGTTGGGGTCATGATTGGATTTTTGGGTGTTTATGCCCCTTTTTATAGCACTTTATCATCTCCCTCCAGAATTATTTTTTTTTTTTTTGTTGCCCTTCTTTTTCTTTTTTTCCTTTTTTTGGCCTTTTAGTCCTGGAGCACTTTTTCTCGGTTTAATTTATTTTTGGCTTCATTTGGAGCATCTCAATGTGCTTATGGGCGCTGTTAGTTTACATCGTCAAAAGACCTTGAATATAATGAGCCTTACAGTTCCTTGGGCTTTTGGTTTTTCTTTTTTGGGCTTAATCAAGGGTTTTGGGTTCCAACTATTTACTGTTAATGAAATGAGAATGTATACATGCCATTTAGTGTTGGATTAGGTCCCTTTGAGTTATGCTTAAGCTTATTTGTGCCACTTTTTAAATGTGCCTTGGCGTGGTGTTATCAGAACCAGAGCAGCGACAAGGGGCATGGTCCAAGCCAGTTGAGATATCTGGTGAGCCATTTGGACAAAAACTTTAAGAAAAAGGAAGAAAGTATGAAGAATAATTTGACAATATAAAATAATTTACAAATGAGGTTTCCCAACTTTGTTTAGGGTTTAAGGGGCCAGAACTTGCTAAAAACATTGGTCTTGACATGTTTTCAACGAAATTTGGTTTTTGATTTAGACCATCAATAGTCAGATCCGTAGGACCGGCATCTGATTCTGATAGCTATTGTTTAGCGTTATAGGGATGCATACCCCAATAGAAAGGACAGGGTTTTGGTGCTTCCTCGCTGAAAGGATGGATTTTAGATCTAAAATTTAGCAGATTGATATTCTCAATCACAAATATCATTAATAGAATTAAATTGTAAACCGTAAAAATAAATGAATTTGCATTTTACTTTTGGGCCATATTTATCTAATGAGTTTAATTCTTTAAAATAAGTTAGTTTTAAGGTTTAAATTCCTTTCTTTTTTCAGACTCATTATCATGGGACATCAAGATTGTCTTTTATTTTTTGATTGTTAGCTAAATTATATTACTGTGTAATTTTGTGAAATGAGCAGTGTACAAAAGTGGATTGTAAAAGAGAAGAAGAAATAGAAAGAGAAATACCAGAAAGGAGTCTTTAGGAACTGGCTCGGAGAAATAGAGAAGATAGCAAAGGGGAGACCCCCATTCTTGATATTCCCTTGGAGGTGTCACCTTCTAATCTCTTCTAAAAGGTCTTTAGGAACTGGCTCGGAGACATAGAGAAGGTAGCCAAGGGGAGACCCCCATTCTTGATATTCCCTTGGAAGGTCACCTTCTAATCTCTTATAAAAGGAGTTCACATCTCTTATAAAAGGAGTTCACAGCTAGGGTTCCATCCCATGACAGAGAATAAGAAGATATTGGTACTGTGTGCCATGTGTACTACAGACTTAAGACAACACTTGTTAAGAGGTACTAGTTGGTTCAAGTGGAAGCATCGAAAAGAGCAAGGGATAAGACCAAAACATTGATTAGGAGATACGAGTTGGTTTAAGTGGAAATATAAAAAAAAGCAAGGGATAGGCTCAAAAGAACATAGTTGAAAGTAGTGAGAAAAAATATGACAATTTATGGCCTCACTAAAAGTATGACCCTTGATAGAGCAGAATGACGGATCGGGATTCATATAGTCAACCCCAAATAGTTAGAAAAAGACTGATGATGATGATGATGGTGGTGTGTCCCCCATATAGCCAAAGATTCAACCTCTTGGTTTCTCTTCTTGCTAATATGCATGAAGAGTGCTTCTCTTTGGATTAAAATATGTACAAATTCATCATCACTCCTCTCCAGTGCTAGGGAGATGCGCATGGAGAATCTCCAGTGTTAGGGAGATTTGCATGGAGATTTACATTTGCCAAATCTTCCTCAAAGATAACTTTATGATGGTCTAGAAACATTTTGCACCCCTTACTTGAGTGGATGTAAAAACACCACAGGACCTTGAATACGAAATTAAAAACTCTACCTGCCTCATCCCGGATGAGGCCTCCAAGACCAGTTGGGTCTAGATTGCCTAATGCTCTGCTATCGGATTTTAACTTGACCAACCTGCCAGAGCTACAGAATTACTTGGCTTTTGGAACTTCTTAGTAACTGTGCCTGCCTCCAATTTATACATTATGTCTTCATCAAGAATATCGCCATGTGAATTTTGGATCCAACTTCTATCTTCAAAGCCCGTTTTTTAGATCCAAAATCTATCTCTAAAATAAACATAGATTCCTCACAAATATTAATTTTAGTTCAATCACACGAGCTAGAAACCTGTAGGCCCCTTTTTTATTTTTTTCTTTTTCTTTTTAATCTCCTTTTGTCAAGAATCACAACTTTCTTTTTTTCTTTACCTTCCTCAATATTACAACCCATTATTCAGTTACTAAGACAGTAACCATCCGAAACCAAACAAAATTACAAAAATTAAAAAAAAATCAATTCCTACTACATGTTACAAATTAGTAAAAGGTACTGGGACAAAAAACAAAAAATTGCTGAATCAAATTACAACTAACGTCCATCTCTTTTCCATTTCTTACTCCCCTTGTTTGCACAATTATCAACTCACTGGCATCGACACCTTGTTTGCCAGCATATCAGCATCCAAATTCGTTGCTCTGCATGCATGAACAAAATTTATCAGTTTATTACCATCCCTCTACAAGTATCTTCTACTTCTGCCCAAATTCCTTTCGTCTTCTGAGGTGCCTTCATTTCCTTATTACACCATTTTGTTGCGTTCATCTAATCTCCCCCAACATTCACTTTATACGCATATTCGTGTAGCAGAATCTCAATTCAATTTCATCGGCTGTCGAAGTCCCAACTGGTCCAAGGTATCTCTTATGTACCACTCCTTTATGATTCCTCACTAATCCTGCAAGACCAGCACTTCATGTGTGAACTTGCATCAAAGTTTAGCTTGATGGTTCCTTCACTCCCACTATTTCTTTGACTGTACTTTTTATTCACACCACCTCTTCTATTTATACATCAAATCCAATCTACTTACTCCCAGAAGCTCCTTAAGAAGTGATGCCCGCTCAGCTACTTCTACGCTTATCTTGCACCCACTCATACCCTAATACCGCACCGTCAAATATTATCCTATTTCGCTCTTTCCATTTTTCATATACCACAGCTCCCTTCATGATTTTCAAAAACATTTTACCTAGTCCTGACATGTCCTCAAATTGAGAAAATGTCATGAACATGTATTGGAACTATTATTCCAACATCAAAATCTGACTCACCCATTTCCACACCCTCATAGCAAATGAATTGTGTACAAAAAGATTTTCACTCCGTTCGGCCTGGCCCTATCAAGTCCCTGGCTGAGGCCCGGCCCTACCTTCAGGCCCTAATTTTTTATGGTTGGGCCACCCGGCCCAATGCCACCCTTAATATAAGGGTAACAACAAATCAATACTATATAATATCTAGAGAAATAACAGGCTGCTAACATAGGTTAGAATCAGGGAACAGAGAGACATGATAGGGAAGAGAGAAATATACCTCTGGGGAGAGAGAGAGAAAGAGAGAAGAGAGAGAGAGAGAGAGTCATCTATGAAAATACCAAGAACGAGCATTTCTCAAGACAACAAAAGAAGCAACAAGAATTTCACCCCAGAAGAACAATAGATAAACAACCATAGAAGAACTCGCCAAGGGAAAATTTAAGAACTCAAGAGAACCAAAAATGCATACAAAGTTAATGTTCTAGATCAACAGTCTGAAGCCCTATTTCTGCAAAAGCATGCACAAGAATGACAAATTTCAGATCCCACAGTACCCACATTTGAAAATTGATGAAACCCAGGCAAAAATAAACCCTTACAAAAAGCATGCCGACTCAACTCCGAGTCCCATATCATCAAAAACACCTAACGATTACACCTAAACCATTATGTTAGAAAAACAAAGGCCAAAGACCCATCTCATAAAAGCCAGTAAGATACCGAAAGACCGTATATCATATCTTCCAGCACTAAAAGGATAGGAAAGTTATTGCTATAGAACAGAAATGGGGAGAGGGGAGAAAGGCTAAGTACCCACCCAGTACTGTGAAGACAGATCCAAGCCTAACGCGTATGTAGATTCATTAGTCTTCGAGCTTTTAGAGGGAGAGAGCTTCAGGGGGTGAGATTTTCAAAAGGGAAGAGAGAGACCTGGAGCTTCAAGGGGCCTGGAGGTGACGATGAAGAGGCGACCGGGTGAGGAGCACAAGTGGGTGCAACGCTGGGCTAGGTCAACAGATATAGGGGAAGAGGTATTGTTTTTCCTTTTCTATGCTTTAAACCCTAAGCAAGCATCAATGTCTGGTTTACATGGGTTTTGACGGAAGCCAAACATTACTTGTTTTGGCAGTAAAAGAGGGAAGCATGAACTCCTATGCAAGAATACTTCCTCTTTTGATGTGCGGAAGTGGTACAATAAAGAGGAACGTTTGGCTCCAAAAGCCAAACATTCCTCCAAACAAACATAAGATCCTTGGGGAGCTAAAAACATAGAGCCATGTCTATAATATATGAAAAAAAATTTAGGCATGCTCTCAGTACAATAAATGATAAATTATTATTGTCGTTGTCATTGATATTATTAAAATGCTGAGCAAACTTAGAGAAAACTGAAGAAAGGTCCAATCCATTGCAAGGATTTTGGCAACAACCTTAAATATGATAAATACAATGACAACCCAAAGATCTGCTCCAATCAGCAAAAAAGAACAATCATATTAAGTCCACTGCTGCAGATCAAAGAACAAAATCCGCCCAAGATGATCGACAGGGATAAATAAAACAAAACCTTGAATGTACTTTTAGAAAGCAGATACCCACCGCTGTGAAAGAATTAACGAATTAATAGATCATTACCCAAGTTCTCATCGAGCCAAGCCATCATAGAACTTCACAATCTTATCGACCCAATCCATCACGGAAACTGGAAACTCCCCCCAATCTGTGAGCTCCCAGCTGGTGGATTTATAGCAACCCACAAGAGTGAGATTGTGATTGCTATGAGCCCAGACCACACAAAAACAATTGTAGGTGTTCGGCCCCTCCGCCCCATTAACCCCTTCGCGAATGGGTACAAATGCGCCAACACCCAAAAGCTAAAGAACACACCACCCAAAAGCCGGCTCCACTGCGGTATGACACTATATATAGTCCGGCTAATTCCTACTGCTATGGCAATGAGGTTGGTCATCATGATAGTTATGGGTGCTATCATAAGTGAGGTCCACTTCACGATGTAAAGGTCCGCAAACTCATCATCTACATCCTCTCCCGCCGATTTCGATGTTAGGGTAAAAGAGATTTCGATCCCTGCTATGACCTTCAACAAGCCTTGTAACACAGCAGCTAGGTGAGCACTAGTGCCCCCAATGAGCCAAAATTGTTCGTTACGCCACCACTCCTCGAGCTCAATACCTGACCACTTGATCTCTAGCACAGCGAGCATGCAGAGAGTAAGGGTGATGAGCAAGAGGTAGACTAGGAACATGACATCAAGAGTTTGAACGATAAATTGGCCTGAGAAGAGAGAGAGAGCTGGAAGGAAGCAGTAAACGATGAGAAAGATCGATGTAAATGGGTATATCCCTACGTTCAAATAGGCAATGCGTTGCAGGAACTTCATTCTTGGGCTTGCGAGAAGCGCATTGTTGCGAGAGAAGAAAATCTCGACAGATCCAGTAGCCCAACGAAGCACTTGGTGCAAACGGTCAGTGAGGTTGATGGGAGCAGTGCCACGAAAGGCATCACGTTTGGTCACACAATAGACTGACTTCCACCCACGATTGTGCATACGGTAACCTGTGACCACATCCTCAGTGACAGAACCATAGATCCAACCCACCCTTTGCCCCCACTCTGTTTTGTCTTCATACCAACATGAGATCGCACTAATGGCCTCAGCCACAGTCGATGCATCGAGCAAGTCTCGGGGGAAGGTTAGGGCACCAGGGGGTCGACCATTTTTCACTGCTGGGTGATCGGCTAGAGGCCGGCCCTGGAACTCGGCGACTGGGATAGAGTCCAAAAGGAATGTAGAGTTTCCAAACTTTTTCGGCAACAAAGAGAGATTCAACTGTGCATCCTCATCATCAGAGTCACCCATCCTCAGTGCCTGTGTCTCTTCAGGTTTCTTAGTCGATGAATTCACCTTTACCTTTCTTGAGCGACCACAACACCCCGAGTGCACCGTCGCTCTCGGTGGGTCGAACCCATAAAGAGCCATTCGTCTAAAGAGGCAGCCCGTGCCCACATAGACAGGACCTTGTAGACCATCAAGCGCACGCATATTGACATCAAAGAATACGGTGTTGTGATTGGCGTATCGATCAGATGGGTCGATACCTTCAAATCTTTGTGGGAACTGAACATAGCAAATGCGATCACCTCCGCGATCCATCATGAAGCACATGCCCTCACACATGGCTTGGGAGTTGTAGATGTAGTGGTCACAGTCAAGGTTGAGGATGAAGGGGCCGTTGGACATTATGGCGGAGGCACGCACAAGAGCGTTCATGGCACCAGCCTTCTTGTTGTGATCATAGCCGGGGCGCTTCTCACGGGAGACATAAACGAGCAAGGGGAGGCGGGTGTCGATGCCCGTGAAGTCGAGGAGCTTCTCGTCAGCAGTGCCTAGCAATGGGTCGTCACTTGGGGGCTTCAGCATAACCTAAAAGGGTAGATTTTTGGTAGAGAAGTTAGCTTTTCAATTGAAAGGGTACAAAGCATCCCGAACTCCCTCCCTCCCTCAATAAACCTCCCTTGCCATCCCTCCCTCCCTCCCTCAATAAACCTCCCTTGCCATCCCTCCCTCACTCCCTCCATCCACAAGTAGCAAAAGAAAGAGAGGTTTCTAAGAGGTATAGCAGGTATGGAGATAGACACTTGTCTTGTATAGGAACCCCAGTAAATATGGCAAGAGAGAATTTTTTCTAAGAACTAAACTCAGAAGAAGAGGCTCTAGAAACACTTTTTGAACAAACTCTAGATAAAAGTTGAGTGAGTAAGATAGAGCGAGTTTTCTCTAAGAATTAACTCTGAAGAAGAGGCTCTAGAAACACTTTTTGCATAACAAACTCCAGGTAAAAGTTGAGAAAAATACCTGTATAATTCCAGCATGATCCCCTCTTGAATGCTCGGACCCCGGAACCATCCAAGTCCCAGGCCAGTGGGTCCCATCAGCCATCCACGTAGCCTTTGGCACCTTCGCAGCCTCACTTGGCTCCTCCCCATTCTGCCTCTGCAACTTCATTGCCTTAATCTCCTCCCTAGCATGATAAGCATCAGACCTCCTCCTAATCGAGTCAGGCAACCCATTAATCCTCACCTTAAACTCATCATATTCCCTCTTAACCCTCCTCCTATCTTTCACAAAATCTGGCTTCACCTTATTCTTCGTTGGGTCCCCTTTCGTATTAAAATAACTCTCGGGATTTCTCGGTTCTATATTATGTTTACGACAAAAAGGAACCCACAAATCAGCAAAGCTCGCAGCCTCTGCCATGGCCTCAAAAGTCAAAAGAGCCCCACCATCATCAGATACATAACAAGCAAGTTTTTCAACCGGGTAATCAGCTGCAAGGATAGAGAGAATGGTATTTGCAGTTACAAGAGGGGGTTCTTTTTCAGGGTCAGCAGTTGATACAAAGACATCAACACCTGGTAGGTCAGATTTTCCAGTTGGGTTATGGGGTCCGGGTTCTTCGAATTTTTCTTTGAGGACTTGGAGGTCAGTTGCTCGATTGACTGGGCATAGCTTTGGGAGTTGGTCGAGGAGCCAGGAGAAGGCAAACCACAGCTCACAAACAACTGACATGCCCCATAGCCAAATGGCATCCTGGTTTGGGTGGCGGATACGCCACACAAGGAAGAAGGAGAGAGCGACCATGCGAACAAGGATGAGAAGCCTGCGTGCATGAGATGATTGTTAGAAAGAGAAAGAGATTTTCAGATAAATTGTTTTTTAGTTACTCCTTGTTGCCAGTCGAGAGAAGATGATTGAGATGAGGGGGAAATGAAATTTCAGAGATTGAAATGAGAGGGAGAAATGAAATTTCAGAGCGTCCTTTCCTTTTCTTCTTATCGTTCTTTTCCAATAGGTGCACAAAAACTTTTCTTCCTATTATTCTTTTCCAATAGGTGCACAAAAAAGGTCGCATCTTTACCTCAATTCAGAAAAAAAAAAGGGTTTTCCATCACATTCGTGCATGGAAATGAAGAGCGACTTTTGGGCCATTTCCAGAAACAATCAGGTTAACAAAGTGCGCTAATTTTACTCCATATTCAGACCAAAAGATTGGTTTTGGCGATATTCTACCCAGCATTCTCAAATTAATGTCTCAAAAGCACAAATGGCAACATTTCTTTGAAAAGATAAAGTACAAATGGCAACAAGCCCAATAAAAAACATATTCCTGAGGATAATTTCTGACTAAACCCTTGTATTTGATTTTCTTTATTCATAATCTTTTTCTTGAACTTTTCTTGCACATACCCATTGAGCTCTCCAATAAGCCAAACGACCAAACGGCCCATAAGCTTTTTTACAAAGTAAATTATCTTTTCGATAGGCTTTAAAATTAAATTATTATTAACATGCCATTTGACGTGTGAACTTTCAAGTTTGAACATCCACAAGAAGGGCTGCCCAGATCAACCCACGAGAGATAGATGCATGGCGCGGGGAAAAAGGTGGATCTTCGAATGAAACAAGGGAGTCTTCTCGAGGGAAAAGAGAAAAAGGTGGATATTTTTTTGTTCGTGTCAACAAACAGGGAAGGGCTTTGGAAGAAGAACCACGAAGAAAACAAAAATTTTGAAATATTGAATCCAGCACTTGTTTACCAGTGTTCTTAAGCAAAATAGTAGAGTCTGGAAGTAGGTTTAAAATTCGAAAGTTTCCCATTTCCACAAACGTTTATGGTTTTCTCTTGGCTCGCATTGCAAAAATAACGCAAACATCAAAATTCGGATTATTCATACTACTATTCATCGTGATTAGAGCCAACCAAATTTAAAAGCACTTAACTTTTCTGAAATTATGACCCACTAGGATTAAAAAAAAAGGAAAAGCGCCAACATGCATTGTATTGGTTTTGGAAATAACGGGCAAATTGTCCATGGCCTAGTCCAAGTAGTTGCCTTCTAAACCAACCGTTGAAATTTAGACAACGTGGTACTAATTTATTCAAAAGGGGTTAAACCACTCCAAACTTTTGAAAATTTGGACAACATCCTAGCTCTTGAAAATTCTCTCTCTCTCTCTAAACCGGATGCCCAGGGAGAGAGACAGAGGGCTTATGAATAATCAGACTTTAGCTATCCTCTCAAAATAACAGCCAGAGTTTCTAATTCAATATTTGAAAAGAAAATAAAAAAAAAGTCGATTTTTCTATTGTTGTCTCCAAAACCGAAAACCAGCCTGCCTTGCAAAAGCCCATCCAGTCTTTGCATGCATTCTCAGAAAAGCGCCAATCCATGGAAAAGTAGAAAATAAACTAACCCTCAAGGGAGGAGGGGGGGGGGGGGAGGAAGTACCCAAAGCAAGAGTGTAGAGACAATGGGACATCCACTATCCATTCTCTTTTTCTTTTCTTTTTTTTTTTTTTTGGGAAAAAGTATCCACCATCCATTCCCTTCAATAGACAATGCATATGAACCATGATCAGGTGAATTTTCATCCTCAGAAACTACAGTCCATTAAATGAAATGGACACCCATTAGTGTACCATATAACATAAACCACTGGCATAGGGTTTACTTTCTCTTCAGTCACTCCTCTTCCCTGAGACTAGATATTTGTTTTTCGCGCAAAACAAAAAGAAAAAAGAAATAAAGAAATTTCGGGGATATGGGTACCAACCTGTAAGGACTAAGCACAGCAGCAGGTATCTTAAGCTTGCGAGTCAGGGGCCTCCATGGCTTACTAGTCAGCTCTGATGGTGACTCTCCAGTCCCATCATTATCATTCGGCCAGAAAGCATTTCCATAACCGTAAGTCCCCTTGGTCTCAAAAAGCCACCTATTATGATCAAAATCACCAGTTTGGCTCTTCATCAAAATAGACTTTGTAGATCTCATCAAAGACAACCTCCTCTCCATTTTCGACATTCCCCCAGCTGGTGGAAGAGGCAAATGCATAGGCCTCTCTGAATCTAGACCCACTTCTTCTAAGTCACCTCCATTCTTATAAGGCTCTTTGCAACCAGGGCATATAACCCCGCCTGTCTTTACAGCGTCTAGATAGCAATCTCTGCATATCTTGAAGTTGCACTCACAAGGGAGTATGTCTTCTCCTCTCTCATCGCTCATGACCTTGCAATCACACCCTTCAATGGCACATGAGGAGCCCTTGGCTCCAGCCATTTGAGGGTGGCTTGATTCTGAATCGATCACCTAGTAAATATGAGGTGAGTAGAAATTTAATGGCTTGGATCATTGTCGCAGCAAAAACAAAACTGACACATTTTTACAAATATCACATATAGTGACTATTTATGCTAAGATGAAAATTCAAGTTGACAAGAAAACTTTATTGCAAGTAGATTAAAAATTATGCATTTGAAAGAAATTTAAAATTGAGAAAATAAACAAGGGATATATTATTCTTTAAATTTTTACATTACTTAATCCATTTCATTTTTCAGTTTCCTCTGAAATTTTTCTACAAGTTTTCCTAAGAATGCCAAAACACTGAAATCTTTCGAGAGAAATTCCCACGAGTCTGATAACCTGGTTTTAAACAGGTAGCATTGCTGCATTAGAAAAGATAGCATACCCCAAATTACAAGAGAATATAAAATAAGAAATCAGTAAAACGTACTACAGATACATAAGCACAAAAAATGTTCTAGTATTTACGAATTACGTATACATCAATAAAGTATCAGCACTTGGACATACCTTGTCCATGAGGTGAGCCCTAGTCACACTGTTGAAACCACCAGTGAACAAGGAGTTGGATACATATTGCTCCTCCACCTTGGCCGAGATGGTGGGGTCCATGGGCTGATTATCAGGGGTCGGTGGTATGTGGACCGTATAACTCATATAGTCTGAGCTCAGGTCCCCTGACATGTCGAGTTCATCTTGAGAGTAACTCACATAGCGACCACTTGAGGTTCTCCTTGCAAAGGCCACAGTCGGGGGAAGAGGTGGCTTTGCTCGAAGCTCTGGGTCACCATTCGATCGCATGGATCTACTGGGTTTGAATGAGTTAGAACCCGATGAATTCATCATGGCTTTCGCAGCTTTGACCCAATAAGCAAAGTGAGAATTTGATAGGTTTCTCCAACTTTAAGATAACACGTATCCTGTGTGATCAACCTGTAGCAGAGAGAGCAGTTGATTGATCAAGATGAAGTACACAAGATAATAAAAATCTTTGATTCTATGAGTGATTTACCAAATACCTATTACCCGCTTTTCACTTTGAATGGGTCGCATTTCAAAACATCTTTCTTGTTATATTTATAACCATGTTTTGAGCCATTTGAATGGACATATTAGGGTTCATTTTAAAAAAGATGGGCCAGTCAGGATTCAAAAGCCACACAAGCTGACAAAACATCAGACTAGAAAAGCTATTCTGCTTTACAATTTAGTATAAGTTCATAATCTAGTCATTCACAAACATGCTATAAGACATGTGCCTGAAGGAGAAAGCAGAACATGCAAACTAGAGCAGTCAGGTTTTATAAATGAATCACGGTTATATAGATGAATCAGATCTTTTTATTCACACAAATAGTCGTGTGTGAGATCAGTTTACTTCTAATATAAACATGATCAAGTATGCATTATGCCATGCATAGGCAAAATTAGGCCCATTCGGGAAGAATAATAGCAAGTTGAATGAAAAACAGCACTCCAGAGTTTACCTACAGAAAGCAACCATGTACCACCACATAGAACACTTTTCTACTATTTCGCAAGGAACCAACCCTTAAGCTTCTGCCACATAGAGCAGACTTGTATATTGGGAGGCAAAATGTTGATTAATTGTAAATTATCAAAGCAAAGAATCAATTGTTGATTCTACTCTACAACTACAGATCAGAATGATTGGGGTATTACATTTCATTAGATGTTTCCCTTAGGATAAAGGCAGTAGAACATTCCACTAAAATTCCAAAAAAAATAAAATAAAACAAATCACAAAGTTCCTCAATTCTTAAGAAAGAAAAACCAAAAGGAAAAGGAAACCCAAAAAATTAAACCCTGAACTGGGGTTTAATGGCAAACTGAACAGACAATCTCCATTGATTTCAACAAGGTTCGGTGAAATTAGCAATTTATAGTTCAAAAACGATTTATTTAACGCTATAAAGAGATGTTTCACGTTAAGCAACATCAGTAGTTCAGGCAAAGATATTGCTTAAATTTCCTATATTTATATGCCACAAGCATCACGAGATTTTAAAAATAAATCCATATTGTTGCTACCAAAAGATACATCACTTTTACTGAACAATAAACGCATATTGCAGAGATTAAAATCTGTGAAAAGAAACACTGATCAAAAGAAATTTTGAGAAATGCAGTTGGATATCCTTTCCAGTGAAAAGTCATAGTAAATTACACTTGAAAATGGGCATTTTCTGGCCAAAAGTGCATAGTTTAGTCTGATCCCTTGAAATCAAAAGTGAAATCCAAGCATGAGTAGTAAATCTCAACTTCAAGGCTTAAAGTACATAAAGAATACCAAAATTGACAAAAAAAACGGCGTTAATTTAGTTATCTCATAACTCAATATCTCCTTCCTTCTGAAGATTCAACACTAACTTTTCACTAAAAACCAGATACTTCACACCAAATTCCAGACTTTCCTTCCATTTTTTGGAAAGAAAACTATACACTAGCCTGAGTTCTAAAGCAGTTTTTTACCTTTTTGTACAGATCGGCTCCAGAACCCCTGAAATAAAGGGGTAAGCTCCGGAGATTCAAAACAGTCAAAATCTTTCATTGGCTAGCCATTTTTGTATAAAAAAACGCATCTTCTTCTGCAACTACAGACCCCTAGGGCTCATTCATATGCTCAAATGGATCTTAAAAGCACATATAGAGCGGGGAACAGAGAAATCTGAACCGTTCAGAAGATGAGCCAGACGGTGACGATGGAGATGAGAAGCCTTCAAACAGGACCTGGTCCCTTCACTTAATGCTCTACAAAACGCGTTTTGTAGAAGTCACTGTATTCAACACTAAAAAATACTTCATTTTCAACGCCATGTTTTGATCATAACATTGCTTCTTCTCTCTGCAACTAAAGAATCCTATGGGAAATGGAGACTAGGGCTTCTTAAGAAGCACTGGACGAGATCTTAATGGCGTGTACAGAGCAGAAGCTGGAGGATCTGAACCGTCTCAAGCTGAGATGGACGTTGACGATCGATGTATGAGATAAAGAAGCTTTCAAAGAGACCTGGTCTCAGAAACAAAGATTTTTTTATCTTTTTAAATGGGAGAAAGCTTGGAGTGGTGTGGTAATGGCGTGCCGGCTTGTGAAGATGCAGAGCAATGCCGCAAACTAGAGAGAGAAAGAGACTGTACCGATAGTGAGAGAAAGAGAGACTTTGCTCGGCTGTTTGCTATTTTTGTAATTAAAAATAGCGGGTTTTGGGTTTGCGTAGAGGGGAAAATGGTAACGAGGTTTATATCCCTAACAAAACGTTAAATGCCACCCGCGTACCCTATGTCTCCGGCGAATTTGCGTATATTCTTGTCGGAGGAAAAAGAATGCAAGCTATCCTTGGAAATCTCTCGGAGAAAGTCACAAAACCCCTCCCTTTCTTCAAATGACATGGAAAACCCATCATTTAGAAGAAGAAAAATAAAGAGAAACTTACGGAAATACACCTGTTGCCTTTTAGAAATAATAAAAAATAAAGATAAAATTACCGAAATACGCCTATCACTTTTTAGAAATAAAAAAAAATAAAGAAAAAATTATAGAAATACACCTTTTAATGTATCAATATCACCGACGGATTGGATACAATAGGACTATTTACCTTTTGGTATAGAGAAGTCCCAATTCCCTTATTGGATTGAGACGGTTTATATAAGGTTAGAACCTTATGTTATTGAATTAAGGTGGACCTTTAAAATCCTCTAGAAGAGAGTATTCGATGCTGGAGAACCCTCCACTTAATCATCGTGATATGGGGATTTCAGAAAACAAAAAAAGAGTTTCAAAGTCTTAAAAATAGAGCATTTTATAACAAGTTATCTGGACGGTCTATTTTAAGATTTTTAAGTGTTTATATATTTGTTTGATCAATATCATTTTTAAAAAATTTAAATTTCATAACTAGGAATAAAAATAGATTTTCAAGCCATCACAAATTTTACTACATCTCCAAGTAAATTTTAGTGTGCCACTTACTTCTACAGTATAATGTGGGCGCCTTATTCAAACCTCACCCTTCTTTAATACAAGATGCTAAAAAGAATATTAAAACTGATGGGCTTATTTTTTAATAATTAATGCACATATCCTCCGAAATTATTGTTACATTAAAAGTCCCCCTTTTTCAAGTTATTACACTCATACCCAATTTGTTCATTTTTTTTAAAAAAAATGATATAAATACCTATACTTCGGATTTCAAAGATCCAAAGGTTATCAAAGCCCTTGGGTGCGTTCGTGGGCCAAACTTTGGTTTCTGTAAATCCGAAGTTTAACCAATCTTGATGCTTCTTATGTCAAGTAAACGCTTTGGATTTTTAAAATGTAAAGTTTTTCCATTGAAAGAAAATGTAAAAGACAATTTTGGATTTTCAAAATCCTAAGTTTTTCTGTTCCTACAGAGGAAATTCCAATGACCACTTCAAATTCTCAAAATCCAAAGGTTGATGGATCACCCCATTTTCTTTTTTTTCTTCTGATCGGATTTTGAGAATCAGATTTTATTTTATTTTTTAGGATTTTTTTTTGTCCAAAGCAAAAACTTTTGATATTGAGATTCCAAAATTTTTAATCTTTTGAAGCATATAGGAGGCAAAAATGTGGCAAGAAGAAATTAAGTTGAAAACGCCGGATTCTCAAATCCAAAGTTAGGGAATTTTGAAATAAAAAAACACAAATTAGGTATGATATTATGGGATTTTGGTAAGGAAAAAAGTTTATATAAAGTTGCAACCTTAAAATGTAAAATTACATATGCACCTCAAAAATCCATTGGAAAAAGTTGTTTTAATTGATCATCTCGACATCGAGATGTATAAATATGAAAAAGTAAAAGATTTTGAGTTTCAAAAATAGTGCACCTTGCAACACATTATCTAGACCGTCCATTTTCAATATTTTCATAGATCTACTTGATTGTAACCATTTTTGGAGTTTTAAAATTTTATAATTAGATATGAGCTCATAGGTTTTCCCATAATCCTAAGAATTGTTTATACCAAAATTACATATTATGATAAAATTTGGAGGTGCACCTTAATTGGATTGTTTAAGGTTGCAACCTTATAGACACCACACCTTTTTGGTAATAGGGAAAATATATGATGAGATCATTTACCTTTAGTATAAGGTTGTTACAATTAATCTTGACCATTGGATGTGAAATTGGATGGTTGCATTTATTTCATTGACCATTTACTTTTTTCAGGATTGTATATAATAAGACCATTTACTTTTCGTACATGGAGGTAACAATTACTTGCAATCATCCGATGTGAAATCTGATAGCTTAGGTGTGACAAAAAGTTCAAGAAAATTTCTTTTGAACTTTGAGCTTGGTCAATGAAATAAATGCAACCATCCAATTTCATATCCAATGGTCAACATTAATTGTGACCACCTTGTACCGAAGGTAAATGGTCTCATCATATACTTTCCCTTTTGCGGAAAAAAAAAAAATGCTCTCATAAGGTTTGTCCTTTAATTTTTATACAATGATAACATTAAAAGTCAAAAGATTCTATATACCCATGGGAGTACTTCCCTCGTTCACCCCCTATGGTAAAATTGAATCTCGGAGTATTCTTAGGGTACCGAATGTTAAAAAACGTGACCTCTTCTATCGGGGCAAAAATTAAACAAAATGATAATAAAATAAACCACCATTAAATTTTAACACAGATCTCTAAAAAAGTTATCACTTAGGTGAATGGGTTTATTGATAACTTTTTTAGAGATCTGTGTCAAAATTTATTGGCGATCATTTGAGATCCTACTTACATGGATGTGGGAGGGTCTCATAGTATCATTACTCTAATAATAATAATAATAATAATAATAATAATAATAATAATAATAATAAAAGAATACAAACAAGAACAAGAACATGAAAAAAATAAATTTGGGTAAGTTCAGACTTGGCATAGTAAATATGGAAAGAAGTTTGTTTAATCTATGTAATTATACATTTTCAAATATTTCATGCATGTGTTCGTTGGAAGGAGAGACCTTTGGCATGTCAACAGTAAGGAACGGGAATGGCATTCGGGCTTCCTTGTTACGGAATACATACGTCCCACCTCATTTGAGGTGGATCGTGTTAGAATTTCATAATAGTGTAGAAAACTCTTTGTATATCAATTTGATAAAGAATATATAAGACCCATATAAATATACGGCCAATAGATAGTAACAGTTATGGATAGACACCACTTAATCTTATCAAAAGTTATCAAAAGATATGTATCCATACAGATGGATATCCCTACTGATATGACATGTATCCATATCTATACGTTAACAACTTTCTCTACAGATCTTACCCAAGTTTTTACCTACCAATTTTTTTTTTTTTTCATGCAGGCTTGGTTGGGCTCCTGCTAGCCCATGCCTTACCCAAACAAATACTCCGGGCCCATTATCCAAATCCACCAAGCCTGCCCATAGGCTGGCCCGGACCCATTAGCAGCCGTTATAATGACAAAATGTCTCTTTTCCTTAAGGCGAGTGTTTCTAAACAATTCAATACATACGAGGACAAATAGATGCATCACAGTCAAATTGGAGTGATTAACGGTGATGGATAAGGATGTTTGACTCACCAGAGGCAAGACTTTAATTATAGGGTTGGCAACAAGCCGGGCCAGCCCTAGATCGAGCCCCACTCTGGTCCTTGTAGGCCTAGCTCAGGCCCCGTCCCACCTAGACTGAGACAAAGGCCCCTTAGGCCTAGCCCAGCCCTGTTCTAGCCGGGCTGGACAAGCCTAACGTATTCAATAGGAAAAAAAACAAAGAAAAATTAGGGAAAATTCAGGACCCAAAAATTTAAGGAAAACATAAGGCCATATAGTACCTGTGGCCCTGGTCCCAACCTCGCTGCACTTAACCTAGCCCTTCTGTGGCATTTTATGGTCAAGGCCCTAGTTATTCAGTGAGCCTATTGCTGCCCTTATTTAATGATGGGTTACTCTCGTTCTCAAAAACCTCGAGCTGCAATGAACTGTGGTGGCACTGTGGCTTTTTTATAGCTTCGGATTATAGTCCAATTCTTCTAATTGAGTCCTCAAGGATTTAGCAAGTGTTTTAAAAAAAAGTAAGTTTCCAAAGGAGGGTACATGTACTTATTTTAACATCATGGATATAAACTATTTCTCATTGTCGAGATATTTTGTTATTATGATTTATTTAGTGGTCTAAAAATATGATCACCCTTAATAATAAGGGTTTCTATAAAATGCAGCCTTCAAACAAAGAAAGGGAAATTATTAAAAACATCTCTATATTTTTTTAAAATACAAAGATTACCATTTTTTTATATAAATTACATTCATACCCAATACTATTTTTGTCTACTTAAAATGCGTTTGCTAGGGGGACCTCGTGTGGTGATGCCCTTGGACATCACAACCCTCTAAGAGCTTGTGATGCCCAAGGCATCGCATTTGTTGCCTTGGATGCACCCAAAAGTACACCCGTGAGATAGCCTTGAGCATCACAACCATATTAGGACCGTGATGTTGATAAGGCCCTGATGCCTAAAAGCCCCCAAATGGACTTATTCGGCATCACAACCATATTAGGGCTGTGAAAAGTATTTTGGGTTTTAAAAAGAACAATGTTGGTTATGGACATATATAATTTAACATTCTTGGTTTTTTTGAAGTTTTGAAAAATATCTATATTTTTCTTAAATTTCACCAAAAATTTCTAACATCTATGATTTGGGAGGCCATTGGAAATCTAGAAACTTATGGTCGATTCAAGTGCTAACAGCATCATACTTTTGCTATTCATAATTTTCAGCCAAAAGATTATGTCCTCCATCGTAAGAATATTGCCCATTATTTTCAGCCAAAAGATTATGTCCTCCCTCGTAAGGATATTGCCCATTCCACTATCACTGTTGTCCAAATTTTCATCCCGGATTATATATACGAAATATATACAATTACACAGATTTTTTATTTTTTATAATTTTTTTTTTTGTACTTTTTATAATATCCTCGAGTTGAACCTCAACTCGAAACAACTCAGGTTCACCCACTACCCGAGCCCGAGCTGACTCAACCGATTTTTCAAATACTGTTTTAAACAAGGCATAATGTTTTATCTTTTCACCTTTTAGCATGGGGTGTGGTTTCTATAAGGTTGCAACTTTAAACAATCCAA